ATGTTTGGTGTTAACGACAAATTAAAAAAAAATAATAGTATAATAATAATAATAAATAAATAAATAAATAAATAAAATAAAATAACATAAAATAAATAAATAAAGGAAGAAATGCTCGCGATTTTGATTTAGAAAAAGAAAATATATTACTCGATTACATGTAATTTCAGAAGGCTTCACAGATTTTTTCTTTTTCACTTCTCTCAACAATTTTTCATGCAGCCTCTTTTACATGCCGTCTCTCTATTTTCGATTCTGTGGGTCTTGGCATTATCACCGTTGCATAATAATCGCCACTGCATTCTCTAACTGTGCATTTTCTTTTTTAACTCTTCCCCCCCTCCACTCCCCTTCTCCCTTCTTTTTGCTTTACAGCCATATTAACACTTGTTGTTTTAACAAGCACACCTCATCTCTCCATTCTGATTTTCTTGTACTCTTGCTGTAATCGTCGCGACCATATTTAGAAACTGCAGTCATTGGCCTATATATTAAGAGTCATAGTTTATTAATTAGTATCGAAATCATTCGATTAACAATAACACTAGAACCCTTATTTACAGGGATACATGTGCCTGCGTCACTGGCACTCTCTCATTTGCCTGCATTACAGGCATCTCATGCAGATCCGACTCATTGATAGACAAGGTAAGGAATGACATGATTACACAAGGAGTTGAAACAAATCTTTCTCTCCCACACTTGATGATTTCATATCTTTACCTATGATCTGTATCACTTTTTATACACTCCATGATCCATTACTCGATGTATATCTACTCAAATCTTTTGTTTGTCAATATTTTCTGCGCTCGAGATGCTCAAAAATCCCCATAATGATTCCGACAAGACAGAAGGCAAATTATTTATTTTTGGCTGCTCAGATTATTTTATCAAATGTGTTTGTTTCATCTCTTCATCTTTATTTTGATGATGTCAAAGGGGGAGATGATAAAAAAAAAATATGATTTTTTCTTTGCAGGGTTTGTCAATTTTATTTGTGTCAAATCCATACAAATTTGCCATCATCCAAAAGGGAGAGATTGTTAATCATATTATTTAATTTTGATGATGTCTAAAATATTATTTGTAACACTTTGGATTTTTTTTAATGTACATATTTATTTGACACAAAATATTATCTTTTTAAAATATATATATTTGTTAAATATTATTTAAATAAAAATATTTTTGAAAACTTTACTGTTCACTTTTTGAAAATTTAGGCTGATCACTATTCATTTTTTGACAAAATTAAAAATTGATTAATTATATTATTTTGACAAAAATGATTGATTGATTGTATTATCTTGACGAATATAAATTGTCTTCTTTTGACAAAAGTGATATATCCAAATGTAATGGTAAGATATATTTAGTTTAAAATCTCTATATCATATACAATATTTTAAAGAGTGCATATATTTTCAAATCCATCATAAATATTATTAAAGAGATTTTTTCTATGTATGCAAATATTTGATTAGAACTTTATATATATAACATTATATATACAATGCATATATTAGCATACATCACGGAAGCAATCATATATATTAGTGTGTGGAAACATTAATTATTAGCATGTGAAAAATCATACATGATATAATACACAAAGAAATGGTTGCAAAATTGCAGCATATTGAATTTTAATTCACATGTTGAAGTTTGAATTTAAATGTTAAAGTTATATCTTTATAATGTGAACTTTGCAGGATTTGTTTTTCATATATATATATATATATATACTATATATATTAATCAAAACCCACATGTTTGTGAGTTTTGTTCAAATTCGGCCACTATGTTTGACAAAAAGAAAAGATGCCTCATGATGAAAAGTTGGAACAAAGGATGCCTCATGATGAAAAGTTGAAACAAATAGATGTCATCCATGACGTCAGCAAGGAGCGTCCAATGGGTATATTTTTGTGTATAAATAGAAGTGTTGTGTGTGGAGAAAAATTAAGAACTTGAAGAGAAAATTTTCTGTGAGCTCCAAATTGTATTCTGCTCTTTCACTTTCAGATCTAAGTCTAGCTTTTGTTCTTACACTTTCATATCTACTCTTTGTGAGAGAATTATTGTAAAAGTGGGTTCAAGTACCACTTATTCTTATTCCTTGTTTTTGTGAGAAATTTTGTAAGGATAAGGCATTTATTATTGAGTGAGGCTCAATAGATAAGAGTAAGTCCTGTGCCAAATCCACAAGCTTGGTGGTGTATTTATTCAATTGATAGTAAAGAAATTCTCAAAGAGGTTCCTGGGGGAGTGGACGTAGGCCTGGCATGCCGAACCACTATAAATCGCAGTGTTTGATTTTCTCTCTCTATCTCTCCTACTTTTATATTGATAATTATTATTCTGTTTTTTTTAGTTATTAAAATTCTGAATAGTGTGTTATTTTTAATATTGTAAAATTTTTAATAACCTAATTCACCCCCCCTCTTGGGTTGCCTATCTGGGATAACATATATATATATATGTTTCTCTTTTTTTTTTTTTGTTCATTTTATTTTGGTAGTTTGTAGTATTCACACTTTTGATTTTGATTCTGATTCAATTGAATACGTTTCAATTTTTGCTCACTCGTTTGAAGGTTTCAGTGTGCTAGGATTTCATTGATACTGTTGTGGTAGGGTTCAGTGATTTGGGAGTGAAGATGACAGCTCCAACGGTGTTCAATTGTGACATTATTTGGAGTATAACTGGGTGAAATCAGTGTTTTTGAGGTAGAGGACGAGTGCAAAATTGTATGATTAAGGTTAGTATCGTTTTGGTTATGAATGCATGTTCAGTTTATGTTTTGATTTATGTGATGAATTGGATGCTCTGTTTTTTGAATTATATTGATTGGATGCTCTATTTTTTGAATTATATGGATTGGATGCTCTTTTTTTTTAAATTATATGCATTTTACGTGGCCTTGTGTTAGTGCGGTAATTCAAATTATGTGAACAATCTGGATGTTCACATCTCATCAGTAATAAAGGTGGTGATATTTTGAGTTTGGATTTAGCAGTGTAAAATGTATATATAGACATATACTTTGTATATGAATGTATGTTCGTTTTATGTTATGTTTTGATTTATGTGAGGAATGCATGTTTTGATTTTGAATTATTTAGATTTCATGCATTTTTTGGAATATATGGTAATGTAAGTGTTTGTTTGATGAGTTTTTTATGTTTGCTTAATGAGGCTCAGTGTGGGCGAGGTAATTCAGAGTATGTGAACAATGTGAATGTTCACATCTTATTTGTTATATCATTATGGAGGGTTGTTGGCATGTTATGTATTGTCACCTTATTTTGATGGTATGATTTTGATTTTGTTAAATGTTTTATGTTGCGTAAGGATGGTGGTGGTAGTTTTCATTCTGGAGTTAGCAATGGAACTGTACACATAGTATGGGTTATTATATGTGTTGTTGTTCGTATAGTTATAACGGGGGTTGTTAACTTTTGTATTGTTGTGCTTTTACAAGAGATGGATACATTTATGATGTTGGTGTGCACATATGGTTGCAGTACAACTGTAATAAATGTGGTTCGCACATTGTGTTATTCGCATTTGGTGGAGTGTTTGTGTGAAAATGGGATAAGTTGTTTGCTTGTTCTGTTTCATCTCTGTTTGGTTAGATAATTCAGATTATGTGAACAATGTAAATGTTTACATATCATTAGCTATAATGTGGTTATTCACTTCTTTGTTTTTATATTTTTGTAGCAGATGGATACCTTCATGTTGTTAGTGTGCTCATATGGGTGTAGTACCACTGTAAAAATGTAGTGCAAGTGTTATCTTATTCACGTTTTGTGGAGTGCATGTGTGAAAAATGGAACGAGTTATCTACTAATTGTGTTTTATCGTTCTATCGGCTACCTGGGATTAATAGATGTAATTTGGACAGTGATGATGAGCTTCAAAGTATGTTCTTGCTTGCCAAATCAATGGAGGTTCAACATGCAGTGGTTGCTGTTGGATTGGTGTGATGTTGGAATTGCATGGGTAGTGATAATGATGAAGATGAGAACGTGTGTGATGGTTTTTTTTTTTTTGGAGAGTTTGAGATTTTATGGATTTTTTGTTTTTGGTTTTCTGGTTTTTGTACTAGAATTTTGTCATATGTATTGTCAATTAATGTTAATATTTGCACCTTCATATAATATTGAATGGTGTATATGTTTTTGTTGTGTTCATTATCATGATGTAATATTGATGATGCAAATATTCAAGGACCATTTTGTTTATTTAGACACAAACATGATGTGAATATTCACAATGCAATAAATAAATGTAAAGATTCACATTAATTCTGATATGTTTGTTCATGGGATGTACACATAATTAATGTATAATGTTAATATTAACATTTGTAGTCAACCACGGTATGATATGAATATTCACAATGCAATGAATAGATGTGAGAATTCACATTAATTCTAATATGATCATACACTTAATTAATGTATAATGTGAATATTAACATCTGTAGTCAAAAAGGGCGGACCCAGGATTTGTCGATGGGGTGGGTGAATATTAAGGTAAAATTATACATTATATTTTAAGTATAACCACATAAGAAAAAAGGGAATTTAATAATATAATTTAAATTAATATCTGAATATATTGATCGAAAACAATCTAACAAAGTTGTGCTCGACGAGCCTTTAAATATTCGAATTCATCGATTACAGAATCTAGATCAATTTTCAAAGTAAGGTCTCGTTCAAGGTAAAAAGAGAAGCAATCGGTAAGAAACTCATCCCCCATTGAATTACGAATGTCAGTTTTAACATACTTCACACCCGAAAATGCTCTTTCTATAGTCGCTATAGAAACAGAAAGGGATGACACAAGACGAATCAATTTGTAGATCATAGTATAATGCTCGAACTTTCTTATCACAAATAGTTCTCGACACAATTCGACAAGGGTAGATATCTTATGAAACTCGAGATCACAAACAATATCAAGCATCTCAAAGCATAGATGTCTTAAGAAGTGAAATCTTGAGGATAAAATTTCTCGACAAGATTGCAAATATTATCCACATTAAAAGATATAAAATTGCCACTAGGATCCAAAGCCGAGTTAAGAGAAGGAAGTTCCACTACCCTATCATTAAATCTATGTTCTAACTCCATCAATTGAAAATCAATTATAGAGTTGAATATGTCAAAGTGATAATGATGCTCAATTGTTATGTGATCTTGTTGACGACGATGACTTGTACCCTCTTCATAAGGAGAACTCATATCATGTACCACAATGTTATGTCGATTGCAAAATGACACCACATTTGCAAGAAAAATATCCCAATCATCTTGTCTAAGTTTTTGAAGGAGAGCTTTTGTTGTGGAGACTAATTTCATCACATTTAAGATGTCTTGAGTTTTCTGTTGCAAGGCTTGACAAAGTGTATTCACGATTTCCAAAATGTTGTCCATCAAATGCAAGACAAATATGAATTCAAAGCTTTTCATTACTTTGTAAACACCAATAGCTTTCCCGCGAATTTTTTGATTTGTACTCTTCTTGAGACTTTCAACAACTACACAAGATGCCTCATACATATCAATCAAGTTTCTAGCAGAGTCATAATGCGAGCTCCAACGAGTAGCTCCACCTCGATGCAAGGTACCAATTTGATTGGCCCATTTACCAGATTGACACACACCACTAGCCAACATATTTTCAACCTCACTCATGTGAAAATATTTTAACTCACCAAAGTGTTTTGGAGAAGAAGCAACAAGATTGACAATACAACTCAAGTGAGAAAAAAATTGCCAAACATTAGGCTCATCTTTTGCTACCGCAATTAAGGCCAATTGCAGACGATGTGCAAAGCAATGTACATAATATGCATATAGGCAATCTTTAAGAAATAAAGCTTGCAATTCATTTCATTCGCCACGAATATTGTTAGCACCATCATACCCTTGACCACGCATGTTTTGAATAGTGAGATTAAATCGAAAAAGGATATTCGATATCTCTTTTTTAAGAGTCAATGCAGATGTATTTTCGACACCCACGATATCAAATAACCTTGCCCCTAGCAAACCATCATTCTTGACGTATCTCAAATAAAGGGCCATTTGTTTTTTTTTAGACTTGTCTCGGGATTCATCAACAAGAATACAAAAATAACCTCTTGCAACTTCATCAAAAATCATGTTCCTAACTCTGTTAGCAAGAATATGCAAAATCTCCTTTTGGATCTTTAGAGAAGTGTATTTGGCATTTTGTGGAGCATTCTTTAATATAATGCTCTCAAGTGCATCATTTCCTCTCGCCTTGAACTTTAATAATTCAATTAGATTACCTTGATTCAATGAAGTCGAGCTTTCATCATGACCTCTAAAACCAAGTCCTTGAAGAGCAAATACTTGAATAGTTTCAATTGTTGCCTTTACCCGCATTCGATTCTTCAAAATTTCTTCTTTTAATTGCGCATTCAATACTTTTTCAATGTATTGGGAAGATATCTTTAAATTGTCATGACTAATAACATAATGACTATGCGATGAAGATACAAGTCCGACATAAAGCAAAAAAACACATTTGGATCCATCATTTACTCTCTTCCAATTGTTAAACCCCTCATCAACAAGTGCAGAATGACTGATCAACTTATTTGGCTGATCAAACAAAAAGCATAAAATACAATATGCTTTATCCTTTGAAGGAGAATACTCTAGCCAAGAAAATTGTTTAAACCAAATATGTTGGAATCGGCGATTCTGCTTTCCAAATGAGACCTAGGATACTCAAGTTTAGCTTGATAAGGCCCCAAGTTCGCATAAGCTCGTCTAACCTCATCCCGTTGATTAACCGGATATTCGCAAATTTGCAAGCGTAAACCAGGATCCCGTTCAATAACAGTTGAATCAAATTCGCTTAGTTTATTTGCTTGAGGCATGGAAGGCGGTTACACATCAAAAAAATGAGGTTTCAACAACATTGGGTGTTGTACTACTAGACTTCTGTTTTGATTGATAAAATGAGAAAAGGTTTTTCCTTATTTGAGTGGTGGAGGTTCCATTATTTATAACCTAATTTTTTTTTTAGAAAAAAAAAAAGCCCTGTTTAATATTAAACCAGAGTATATTCACAATAATTTTAAATATTAGGGTTTTTATATATATCCTCAATAATTTTCATTTAGGCTTTCATTATTTCGATATATGTCCAAAAAACAATTGTTCAAAGTTCAAAAACTAAGAGTAATATAAAACAAAAAGGTTAAGAGCAAAAAAGATTCTTTTGATTAAGAGCAAAAAAGATTAAGAAGAAAAAAAAATTTTAAAAAAAAAATCCATTCAGGCTGTGAAGTCATGAAATGTCAAATAAGATTAAGAGCAATAAGATTAATCAAATCCATTCTCAACCAAAATAAGATTAAGATGAAGAAGAAAAAAAAAAGAAAAAAAAAAGTCAAAGTCATGAAAGAGTAGTACCTATACCACCAATGGGAAGAAGAAGAAGAGGAAGTGAAGAAGAGTCTGAGAGAAGCAGTTGATTGGGCTGCCTATTTTTTGGGCTGCCTCTTTAAACAAATACAAACCTATTAGGCTGTCTATTTATTTTTTTGGATAAGTATTGGGCTACTGTTGGGCTACCTATCTAAAAAAAAAAAACAAAAAAACTATTGGCCCTTATTTGAGGCTAAACTGGAAAAGGTTGGGAGGCTGGGCTGGACTAGGAGACTGGGTTGGGGTGGGCTGGAAAAAAAAATTTCTACAAATTTTTTAAATTTTGGGGTGGGCTGTAGCCACCAATGCCCAACCCTAGGTCCGCCATCGGTAGTCAACCACAGTAAACATAGGACATAATTTGAACATTCACATTTACTGAACATAAATTAAGATGTGAACATTCACACAAACGTCAACATAAGAAAACAGATGTGAATATTCACAGTTTATATTGTTTAGCACACGCAACACATCAACACCAAATATACTATCAAAACACATAGGTGTGTGAGAAGTATATCATTGATTTATATATATGTTGTCAAGTGTTTTCAACTACAAGTTATCAAAGATACAAAAAAAAAAAACAAAAACAAAAATAAAAAAACTAACACTGTATTCTGGTATAGCTAGTATATGGTAGACAACCCCAACCATCGAACAATGGATTTGCCTCAAGTAGTCCAGCTGAAGATCCAAGAATTGGGTGCTTCTCATTAGTTTTACTAAGCCTGTAATGTTTGATTGATAATTGACATGTATCATGTCGATGGGGTGTTGCTCTCTAGAGGCATGCTCTCTTCTTTGACATGATACTCCTCCCTCTTTCTCTTTGTGCAAAATTTAGATACAACATCTGTTACATGGGCATGCACAAATAGTAAGTGTTTATATGAACATTAAATTTGATTTCTATAGAATTAGTAGGGTAGGCATGCACATTGACATCAACACATCATTAGTCAATGTGGATATTCACATTCAAAGATATTCATATAAGCAAAAGCAACAAAGTGCTATTTAGGTGACAAACATAGTAATGTGAACATCCACATCATTGGAGATGTAAATATTCACATTACTGCTATGGTACAAATAGTAGTGGTCACACCGAATATTAATATTTACACATCCATATAATATTAGATATGTCTATGTCTATAGAAGAGAATGTTAAAGTTCACATCAACATTTGGTTACAACAATTCACGGTAAGACAATGATTATATGTACACATTTATAAGCAAATAGTACCAATGTGAATATTCATAGTGGCAATAAATGAGCAAACAACATGGCAACATCACCCATTCAGTAACCACAAACCACATATTTTCAATATACACAATTGTGATGTGAATATTAAGCGGACAAATATGAACAACATTAATGTTCACAATGTCAAGGTTCACATCAAAATCAAACTACAACTAGAAAAAATGTTTTTATTTGGGAATTTTCTTGACACAATGTTCACAATCATATAAAAATTTATTTAGGGCATGGTCCCCAAGTGAATGTTGACATCATGCGAACAACAACAACAACAATATCCAAAATAATGACAATTTTCTGTTTTCTAGGAAAATCACCAAATTTGGGAGTTTACATCATTTCAATAATACCAACAACAACAAAAAGAGGAAAAATAACAGCAAAAACATAAACAATAAAGACCAAAAATAACAATAGTAACATGTGAGAAAGTTTGCATTCAGACAAAAAAAAATGTAATTTGATTACACAAAAAAGAGGAAAAAAGGTACTTATATTTGGTTCCCATGTTGAGTTGATACACTCCGATATATGCGAATGTTCACAACGTTGTTTTTTCTTCATTGGAGTATGGTTCTAGTAGCTAGCAATGCTTTGATGATGGTGGAACGGTGGGAAAATGAAAAAACGCAATTGGTTGGTCGATTTCGCGATGGCAATGGTGAATCGATGTGAACCTCCAATTGTCGGCAATGGTGGGATGATGGTAGGATGGTGGACAAAGCAATGTGAAACCTAGGGTTAGGGTTTGTGAGATTTTCCTGCACCAAAAAGGATTTTGGGAAGGAAAAATTTGGGGAGTGAAATATGGAATGATGAAGAGTGTTTTGATCAGATTTGATTTCAGAATGGAAATATGTGTAGGAGAGATTGAGGGTGTTTTGGTATTCTTACCTCAAATAGGACCTAATGGAATACTCAAAAAGAATATGCGTTAGATAGAATAGAACTCTTAAGAAGAGGATTTACCAAAAAAGTTTCCTATAATAAATTTTGATTAGTGTGAGATATAATCATGTAATCAACCAATAATTTTTCCTCTTATTAAGCATTGAATTGACTAATGCTCAAAAAATTATTTGATACTTTTGGGATGCCTCGGGGTGGTGCTTCATGTGGTTCTTCACCAAATACTATCCACTATGTCTTTTTTTATTTGTCAATCATCCAATACAAAATTGTAAGTCACACATCTTCTATCAATTATAATATTTCTAAATCATATTCTAGACCACCAAATAATTTCTCCCTAAAATGAAGAACTTTCGGTGATTTTGAATTAGAAAAATATTAGAGATACCAACAAAATTATCAACAAATCTACCAAATCACTCACATGGACGTGGGTTCAATGTGAGTGTTTGATAAATTTTTTGATAAAAAATTTAATACGTCTAACATTGTTGTTTGGTTAATGCTCGTGTAATATTTATTTACTTATTTTCAAAATAAAAATAAAAAATTTTACTATTTTAATTAATAAAATATAAATTAAAATGTCACGTAGAGTTTTCTCAAGACTATCATATAATTTTTCCTTAAAAATAGAAGTTATTTTGGTAGTCTTAAAATAATGCTCAACACTATTCATTTTGTGTCGCTTGTCTTTTTTGTCTTTTTAAAATTAATACAAAAATAGGGGTCATTTGGAAACATAAATAAAAAGTCAAAAATCAACTTTTAACTCATTTTAAATCATATCACCCCTCACATAAAAAAGTTTAAAAAGTCAAAAAAATTAACTTTTAACTATCTTTTTAAAATATCCCATATTAAGACTTAATATTTTAACTAATAAAAAATAAGTTAAGACAATACAAGTTTATTTCAAGACCAGATATAATTTTTTTTCCTTAGTAACATATGTTATTGTTAATAAAAACTTCTAAAAAAAAAAGTAAGCTAAATTATCAGTAAGGCCTCATTTAGAAACATACCTTTTTAGTAATTTTTTAATTTTTTGGCTAAAATATGATATAAAAAACTAGTATATTTAGAATAACTTTTTGATTTTTACGAAAAGATATGTAAAAAGTAAAAAAAAAATGAAATGTTTAATTTTTGGGTATAAATTGTTAATTTTTTTTAATAATTTTTTAACTTTTAAATTAAAAAGTGATATTACCAAACGAGGCCTAAAAGAATATTTTTCCCAAAAGAAAGAGGTTTTAACCCTGTCGATGAAAGGGAAGATGCCCGAGAACCTCAATTGGGTATGATTTATTTTCCTCAATTGTTGAAATTTGGAATTGTTTCAATTAGTCAGAGCACCACTAGATCAGTTTTGTTTATATGATTAGGTAGTTCGGAAAACTATTTCAAGAAAGGTAGATCCTAGTAAGGCCCAAAAGCAAGTCTTAATAGTTTGACTTAATTTTCATAAAGTCTTATTGAAAATAAGTCTTAATAAAATTATTGTTAAAAATAATTTTCTGTGACGATTTTTTGTATTAATAAAAAATTGATAATTAGTGACTTTTTTTGTTACATTTTCATAAATTGCCATTCAAATTTACAATTAGTGACATTTTTCTGTGATGAATTTTTCAAACTGTCGCTGAAAGTTAAAAATTAATGATTTTTTTGTGATAATTCTTTCAAATTGTCGCTAAAACTTATAGTTAGTGATATTTTTTGTGACAAAATTTTCAAATGTTACTAAAAATTAACAATTAGTGACTTTTTAATAGTGTTTGATAAAAAAATTGTCATTAATTTTCATAGAACTTATTGAATAATAAGTTTATCTATTATAACCTACACGTATGTCCCTTAAGAAAGTATGTTAATCAAATATAATTATCTCATTTAATGAGAACTAATGTACTAATATAATAATGTTATATATGACTTATTAAAAATAATGCGATATATTACAATTTAAATCAACAATAATATGGTAGAAGAATTGGGTGGATTATATGATCGAGGACACTTAACCTACCATAATCAAATAATAATAATAATAATAATAATAATAAAACCTACTTAAAGAGTCTAAAACATTTTCCTATATTAAATTCTTTTCCTAAAAAGCCATGGAGTTTTATTTTTTTTACAACACTCTTGATCATCAATCCAAAGCTGGTCTCGACATCATGGTCAAATTTCGAATAGCCACAACGGTATAGTGGTAATTGTAACCCACATGGATACACTACTTAAATGAGTCTACTAAATTTAGTAACTTGGTTTTTTTTTGATAAAAAAGCTAAAAAGTGCATTATCCAAAAAAATTACAGAAAAAGAAAGAAAGAAAGAATTCATATTTTTTCATATAACTAAAAAAAGTTATTTTTAAACCAATTAACTTTTTTCTTCTATTAAAAAATTACTTAAAAAGTCCAACCACAAACGCGACCTAAGTCAAACCACAAATGAACCACCACAAACGAACCATGTTTGTTTTCAGTTTTTGAAAAATACTTTTTAAAAAATTCCACTTTCTTATTTTTTATATTTTTTTGTTTTTACTAAATTTTTTAATATTTTAAGAAAATTTTTTAATTTTTAAACACGCCTAACAATTTTCATGAATTTTTTTAAAAAAATCACTAAATACCAAAAATATTTTTAAAAAATACGAAGATTCAGTATTTTTTTTATATTTTTATGTATTTATTAAATTTTTAAAATATTTTTTCACAAACATTTTACTTTTTAAATACATCTAAGTAAGGTACATCTAAAAAAGTAAAAACAATGCAAAATTTTAAAAATAATCACTAAAAATAATATTAAAAAAATACAAAAAATAAAAAACTCAGTTTTTAGAAAACTAAAACTAAACACCCTTTTCAATAAAATTTTCATTCAAATTAGGATAATCTAAATAAGTACACTTTTTGATTTTTTATGAAAAAATGCATAAAAAAAGAGATAGATAATATGACATAAATAAATTCACTTTTCTAAATAAATATGCTTATTACCAGAAGCCAAACAAGCTATTGAAAAACTTATTTCATGTGTTATAGAACTAAGAGCTCGTTTGGGATGTGAGTTGACTTTTTAACCTTTTGATTTTCGACAATATTAGGTGACCTGAATTTTCATGGTTCGAATGGCTCAAAATGACATCGCTTTGGGTGTAAAACGACGTCGTTTTGACATATTCAAGTCATTCAGGCCACACAAATTCGAGCCACCAAGCATTTTTCTTTAATTTTTTGATAATTTTAGTCTCAGGCTAAAAAGTCTCGTTTAAGATAGATTTTTTAACTTTTTTAACTTTTGTGAGAGAAAAAATAAAATAATTATGGATTAGATGTGATATTTTGTCTTATATAATTATTTTAGTCCAAACTTTTATCCCAAACGAGCTCTTAGGTCTCGTTTGGAAACAGGCTAATTTAGTAACTTTTTGGCTACTTGGCTAAAATATGAGCTAAAAAAATTAGTATATTTGGAATGACTTTTTGACTTTTTACGAAAAAATGTGTAAAAAGTAAAGAGAAAAGAAAATCTTTGACTTTTTAGTATGAGTTGTTGACTTTTTAGTTAATTTAATAATTTTTTAGTTAAAAATAAAGATTCCCAAACGAGGCCTTAGTGAAAACTTTCTTTAAAAAAGTAAGACTTCTTTAATATTTTTGGAGCAATGCTACGAGAACAAAATAATTTATAAAAAAAATAATACAATAGATAACTGGTTTAAACCTAATCGTGATGTCAATCATATTCAAAGTAAAGGGGTCTTTGGGAAGTTGGTTTTTTTTTTTTTTTTTTTTTTTTTTAAATAATTAAAAAATGCAAAATAAGTTAAAACAGTTAATAAAATAAAATATCACATTTAAATTATAATTTTTTTTTTCTACAACTATCAAACCAACTACAAAAAAAAAAAAACAAAACAAAACAAAACAAAAAAAGAAGTCAACTATCGTCACAAATACAATTTTTTTACTCAGACTAAAATAATAATAAAAAAAAAACTAAAATAATTAAATTTTCAAACAAGCCCTAAATCTCAATAGATCAATACACTTTTTATGATAAATTTGTATTCATATCATTATCGATACTTTTCTAACAAACTATGAACATGAGTTCGGGTATGAGTATTAATATTGTACGATACGGGTATGTCAATACGGTAAAATTTAAAAAAAGTTAAAAGAAAAAGATACAGGGACGGTTTGGTACGCTTGTAAAAAAAAATATTTATTTTTAATTTAGAATAATGCAAAAATTTATTAAATAGTTTAATTTATTAAGGTTCATCCTACAATTAACATTTAGGGTCCGTTTGGGAAGAACTAAAGTGGGCTTTTTTGACTATTTGAGCCACAAAAGACAAAATAGGCTATTTTAGCCACAAAAAACAAAACATCACATCCAACCCATAATCATTACACTCTTCTCTCACAAAAAAATCAAAAAAGCCAAAAAGTCAAAAAATCTTTCCTAAATCAAGCTTTTTAGCCCAGGCTAAAATAGCCAAAAAAGTCAAAAAGTCAAAAAGCCAACCCACTTCCCAAACGGAGGCTTAGAGGGTGTTTGGGAAGTGGGTTTTTATGTAGTTTTTTTAGTTGTAGGATATTATTGGAAAAAAAAAATTAGTGTTTGGGAAGATAGTTGGGTTTTTGTAGTTGGATGTGATGTTTGTGAGAGAAAAAGTGAAATGATTATGGGGTTGGATATGATATTTTGTTTGTATTTATTTTTTTTTGGTTTTGCAAAACTTTTGTCTTTTAGTGGAAAAATAAGAAAAAAATTTGGGAACCAAGTTCCCAAACACCACCTTAATGTCAAAAGTAAAGGTATAAGTCAAAATTAAATGTCAATATATTAAATAACTTACAAATCATACTTTAATTTTAAAGTCATGCTAAGTATAAAACAAAAAATAAAAGAACAAGTCTAGTGAAAGGAGTTTTAATTCTGTAATAGAAGAAAATATTGTTTCAACTAAGGTTCAATACGGATTGGGTATATACTAGGTACGTCTAGGTACGTCAAAATTAAAAAAAAAAAAAAAAAACTTTGGTACATGTTTCATGTATCCGGTACATATGCAGAAGTATCATACAAAATATCATATGCAGGTAAGTACCTGAAACAATACGACATGTTTTTCGAAATACCCATACTTCACAGCTAACAAACTAACCCACATAGATGAGTTTAACATGATTAAACTCACTTATGATAACCAGTAGTGTTATATGCACCAACTAGTATATTAGTTAGTATACCAACTACAGTTACGTTATTATTACTAACTCCACCTATTATATAAATTATAAATATTCAAAAAATTTAAAATGATATCAAATAATTTATTAATATATTAATTAATACATTTATTAATACATATAGGATTATCCTAGGATAACAGTTCATAATATGTTTATCCTATGTTTCTGATATTTTCCCCAAAAGAAAAATAAAAAATATTTCTCCCACATTGATGAGTGCAATAGTTAAGGCGTCACTAAAAAGATAGCCGTTGGGAGAGGGGAGCGGCTTCACAATAAAAGACCCAGTGTCGAACCGACGACCCCTTGGCCTTTGTGCAAAATTTCCTACTTACCAGGCATTAAAACTAGCCGTTAGACACAGTCTCTCTCTCTCTCTCTCTCTCTCGGTAGCAAGAGCCTCTGAATGCCTCATTTTGCACCTGACACTTTCTTGTCTTCCAATAAACAAAGATTCCTCCATTTTGGCCTCTCTCTCTCTCTCTCTCTCTAAAAGATCCTCACGGGAACCCCACCTCTCTAGGCTCTACCCTCCCCTCTACAAAACCATGTCTCAACAGTTCACTTCCCTGTTTAGTTTAGTCAACCTCACGTATCTCTATCATATTATGGACTGTTCATATTAGCACAAACTCAACCAAAAATTAGTCAAGAAAGAGAGCCAAACCAACAACCAAACCACCCTTCATCTTCTTCTTCAATACATATAATATATGGGTTGCCAAAATCAAATCTTTAGCAGTTTCCACAAAAACCCATCTCAGAGCCTTCATTTTTTGGTAAAGACAGAGGCCAATAAGAAGAAGGAGAAATGGAAAATTCAATCCAGCCCTTCTCATCTTTTTGGGTTTTCACACTTTTTCTTGTTTCTTCACCTACTGATTTGTACCATTCGAGCGGTGTCAAGCCAATCTTGGGATGGTGTAATTGTCACCCAGGCAGATTATCAAGCCCTTCAAGCCTTCAAACATGAACTTGTTGACACAAAAGGCTTCTTGAAAAGCTGGAATGACACTGGATATGGAGCTTGCTCCGGGGGTTGGGCAGGAATCAAGTGTGCTCAAGGTCAAGTCATAGTGATTCAGCTTCCGTGGAAGGTATTAGGAGGCCGAATCACTGAAAAGATTGGGGAACTTCAAGCCCTCAGAAAGCTCAGCCTCCATGACAATGCCATTGGAGGTTCAATCCCTTCTTCTCTTGGGTTTCTCCAAAACCTCAGAGGTATTCAGCTTTTCAATAATCGGCTTTCGGGTTCGATTCCAGCTTCAATTGGGTCATGTCCTCTCCTTCAAACTCTTGATTTCAGTAACAATTTACTCTTTGGGTCAATCCCAGAGAGTCTTGCTAACTCTACCAAGCTTTATAGGCTTAATCTTAGCTTCAATTCTTTGTCTGGTTCAATCCCCATTAGTCTCACTCACTCTCCTTCTCTGATCTTTATTGCTCTTCAATACAATAATCTCTCTGGTTCCATTCCTGATTCTGTGGGGAAGGCAAGTGAGCTCCAAGAGCTCTCATTGAGTCACAACCAAATCACTGGTTCAATACCTAGTGAAATAGGAAGGCTTGATAAGCTCACAACACTTGATCTCTCTGACAATGCCATTAATGGAAGCTTACCCATTAGTCTCTCCAATCTCTCCTCACTTCTTGTTCTCAATTTGGAAAACAACCACATTGATAACCAAATCCCAGAATCTGTAAACCAATTACAGAAGCTCAAAGTATTTAACTTGAGAAAAAACCGACTCTCCGGCCACATTCCAGCCACAATTGGGAACATTTCCGGCCTAACCCAACTTGATTTAGCCTACAACAATCTCACAGGAGAAATCCCCAACTCCATTGGTGATCTAACAAGTCTCAATTTCTTCAATGTTTCCTATAACAACCTATCTGGTCCTGTTCCAATCAAACTCTCCCAAAAATTCAATTCAAGCTCATTTGTGGGTAATCTTCAGCTATGTGGGTATAGTCCTTCAAACCCATGTCCCCCTCTATCTCCTCCTCCTAGTACCTCTCCTCCTCCTTCCCCGAAAACCCGTGCTCACCATAGATTGAACACCAAAGACATAATTCTCATAGCCGCAGGGGCTCTCCTATTAGTCTTACTTTTACTCTGTTGCATATTGCTCTGCTGCTTGATCAGGAAAAAGGCGGCCGCAAAGGAGAAAGACGGCGAGGCTGGAGGCGGAGCAAGGGCGGAGAAGGGTGGTGCACCGCCAGCAGGCGGTGAAGCAGAAGCAGGCGGGGGAGAGGCTGGAGGGAAGCTTGTGCATTTTGATGGGCCACTGAGTTTCGCAGCTGATGATCTGTTGTGTGCTACTGCTGAGATTATGGGGAAGAGTACTTATGGAACTGTTTACAAAGCCACATTGGAGGATGGGAGTCAAGTTGCAGTGAAGAGGTTGAGAGAGAAGATAACAAAAGGGCAGAGGGAATTTGAAACAGAGGTTAATGTGCTTGGGAAGATCAGACATCCCAATCTTTTGGCTTTGAGAGCTTATTATTTGGGTCCCAAAGGAGAGAAGCTTCTTGTTTTTGACTACATGCCTAAGGGAAGTCTTGCATCTTTCCTCCATGGTGAGTAAAAAGATCCTACTAGCTTAGCTCTTTCATTCAATAATGTACTCACATTTCACACCTGTTAGCCTACTTAAAAATTTTAAAAATGATATACCTGCATAATTTTGATATAAAATTTAAGATAATAATGATGTGAAAATGATATTCTTGTAATTATAAACCAAAGTAATGGGCATTTGGAATTTTAATAAAGAACTATAGATGAGATATATCATCTATATAAAAATTCTGTTTGTATATCATTACTCTAAAAATTTATTTGAAATTGATTATAAGTAAATTGAATTTGAACATTCTTTAAAACTTGTCCTTTTGTTGAAACTATTTTAAAATTGACTCAAAAATGAACAAATCAAAAATTACATACAATTCTAATAATCATTAGGATCTCAAATTAAATTTTTAATACTCTATATTCAAGCCAACTCCACTAGTTTTGAACCCTTGTATTTTTATTTTTATTTTCTTTCTATGTAGGTTTATGTCAAGGGTTGATTGAGCTGGGACCCCTTAATTATTAGGAATATGAACTTACCACCTTCAACTATAAGATATTTTGATTCTTTCAAGTTTAAAATATATCACTACTATTCTTATATTTGAGAGGTAAAAATGTACAAATTAATAAGGCGTCGTTTGGCATATAGGGTTTGGATTTAATCTAATAAGACAAAAATATCATATCTAAATCATAATCATTTCATTTTTTCTCTCAAAAAAGTCAAAAAATCTATCCCAAACGAGATTTTCAGGCTAAAATAGTCAAAAAGTCAAACTCACATCCCAAACGAAGGCTAAATAGAAGCCAAAAAACCTATCCAAAATTAGGTTTTTTAGTCTCAAGTTAAAATTGTCAAAAAAAAATTAAAAAGACAAAAAGTCAACTCACATCCTAAACGAAGGCTAAATTGAATAAGTTGATATTGGTAAGTAGTTGAGAGGGTAATAGGGAGTTCTCTCGTCTCTCTTTTTATCTTTACTTTTATCATTGAACTATCAATCATAATAAGCCCCATTGTGTAGAGCTAATTCTTCGATTTTTTCATTTTTTTTTTAAAATTATTTTTGGTTACAGCTCGTGGCCCAGACACACCCATTGATTGGCCAACAAGAATGAAGATAGCACAAGGCACAGCAAGAGGCTTGCTCTACCTTCACACCCATGTCAACATAATTCATGGAAACCTCACTTCCAGCAATGTCCTCCTTGACGAGCACACAAAAGCCAAAATCTCCGATTACGGCCTCTCTCGGCTCATGACCGCTGCCGCCAACTCCAATGTAATTGCCACCGCTGGAGCACTTGGATACCGAGCACCAGAGCTCTCAAAACTCAAAAAAGCCAACACAAAGACTGACGTTTATAGCCTCGGTGTCATCATTCTTGAACTCCTGACCGGGAAGTCCCCCGGGGAGGCGATGAACGGTACTGATTTGCCTCAGTGGGTGGCCTCGATAGTGAAGGAGGAGTGGACTAACGAGGTTTTTGATTTGGAGTTGATGAGTGATGCAAATGCTATTGGTGATGAGTTGTTGAATACTTTGAAGTTGGCTTTGCACTGTGTCGACCCTTCACCATCAGCGAGGCCGGAGGATGTTTCGATTGTTCAGCAGCTGGAGGAGATTAGGCCGCCGGAGACAGGGCCCGGGAGTTCTGGAGATGACGGTGGTGCAGTCCCTTCAACTAGTGAGGATTAAGAACGAAGCATCGGGTTTTTATTAGGACACGGATTCTCTGTCTTTAAGATCTATGTTCCTAATCTCAATACATGGTTTAGATTGTATCATCGTGTCTCGAGATTTTGATGTTTCGAAAGTTCTGCCACTGTAATCTCAAGGCACGATTTTAGTGCTAACAGTGCATTAAGAATAGGAGAAGAGAGGATACCTTAGACTGGGCTTTTTAGTGTTTAGGTGTGTAGGATAGGGACTATAAGGAGGACACATTAGTCCTTGTTCAATTCTTTCATTCATTAATGAACCTTTTTTTGATGCTTTTTGAAGTAGGTTGTTCCTTTTTGTCTGTAAATACAGATTTTCTTTCCAGTTCAGAGAACGTTTCGTCATGAGTTAACCATGATTTTATTTGATAAACACTTCAATTGATTCCCATGTTATGAAACTAAAATGGATTTGTCTTGAATGAACACCTTAATTATTCCCATGTTATGAAACTAAAACAATTTGTCATGAATGAACACTTTAATTAATTCTATGTTATGAAACTTAAAAAGATTGTATATTGTGCATGAAAATAAACGTAATAATTTTTTTATACTTAACATGTACCTTAGAGCAAATGTTAATAAAATCTTACAAAAAAATTCCACAATTTCGCTCACTCAATAAAAAGTCCCGCTCACTAGTACCAGAAACAAACTCACTTGCAATTGTCTATGACCCTGTTTGATATGACTTATTTCCAGCTTATTTCAACTTTTAGTTTAATTTAAGGTATTTTGATATGTTTGGTTCAACTTAACAATACAGCTTATAACTTTTTGTAAGTTAAAAATCAAATTATTCTTTGAGTGGGGAAGGAGAAACTTAATTTATAAGTTAAAAATCAGCTTATGTTCACAGCTATAAGCTATAAGCTGTTAATGTATAAGCTATAATCACTTTCCCACAACTCTACCAAACGGGACCTATGAATTGTTTCCGCTGATATGCAATTCTGTTTCTTGTATATCAAATTTGTTCGTAGTCAAAAAAAAAATTATAAATAAAAACAAAACTATAGAAACAGAATAAAGAAAGTAGACCTAGTGTCCTAGACTAATGCCACATGCTCCTGCATAGTTTGGTAATGTCTGCATCTTTGATGGACCCCAAGCACAATACAATAACCTCAAAGTTCAGAGAGAAAATTAACAAAACCTGTCTAAAAGGCTGGAATTTGATATACAAGTAAACACCATCCAAGTAGTCCCAAGTGCAAACATGTACCCAACCAAGAATTCTTAATTTGTTATTTTCCTTTGGCTTTAAATATCAGCAATGTAAGCAACTCGTAAGCAACCACTCAAAGCCAAAGCAATGCTTTTACAAGATAACCAGTGCAAAAAAAGAAAAAGTCGTCAATTAAGCCTTTATGAATGTGAATGTTCAAAATCAGATAATGAAAATATACAATTTGTGTACCTATCTCAAACAAACAGATAAAGCTTCCCTAAGTCAACTATGTTGTGTTTCTTAACTCAAACTATAGTGTACATAAATGAAATACAAAGGATGGAAATGACAGGAAAAACTGGAAACAACAATAATTCACAGCTAGGGAGGGAGAGGGGACATCAGCTAGCTACTATCTTTTGCATATCCACTAGTTTCTTCTGCAACCATTTCCCACACATTTGCCATCTTCTCTGCATATCCGGCCTGTTAACATACATGCATTAAACAGCTTATCTTGTTCACTCATTGAAAAGAGGGATCACATATAGCACACAGAACGAAAATCATACAAGATTAAGGCAGCAACTGTGAAAGGTTTCAACAGAAGAAACCTATATTACCCCCACTTTGGTCTCATTTTTTTAGAACTATTCTGTTCTCCAAAAACAAAACTACAGATTTTGGGCGAACTGTTCATTTTTTTCTTCTGAAAACACCTCCTTTTGGGGAAAAATTACAAAAAATTTTACACAATACTCACATGTGGGACCCACACCATAAGGGAACCACACTCACGTGAGTATTGTGTAGAATTTTTTACAGTTTTTTTTTTTTTTTTTTTTTTTTTTTTTTGGGAATAAATGACTACAAATATAATTTTAAAAAGTTCTCCAGTATTTAGCATTTCTGATACTGCAATGATTTTTATTCTATCGACTTTTGCAATTCTTTCCATTGTTCTGCAATTTTTGCAACTATTTTCATATCTAAAATGAAAACAACACAAAAATGTCAGCGTTTTCAAACTCCACATTGGTTTTGTTTCCAAAAACAATAGTTATGAAAATGATACCAAACAGAAAGCTCTCCCGCCGTATCTCTAGCATGAAAAAAAAAATAGGGGAGGCAGAAAGCAAATGAGCTCCTATCATGCCTCTCTCATCCATCTTTTCACTTTACAAAGATGAATTCTTCTAGTCCAAGCATGAAGTTGTACAATCAAATGTATTTTCAGTGATATTGGGCAACCAGAATGGGCTAAATTTTTCACCTCATATTCAGAACAACTTAGCAGGTTGCCTCACTGAACTCACTATTCTGCTAGCCAGCACAAAGGGTTATCAAACAGGGCTACAGCCGTATACTGTGGTAAATTAACTAGGTACAATACAGCGAGCAATGCTAGAGACCTCAAAAATTCTACCAAAAGTTCTACCAAATGTCTCACATTGGTGTGGGACATTTGGTAAAATTTTTGGTAGAATTTTTGGGATCTGACATTTTTGATAATATTTGTAGGAGAAACAGCATAGTTTCCCCAAACCAACGTTTTCCAAAACCAAATAGTGAAAGAAAGTGGACTGATTTGGTGCACTTCAAACCCAAACAGCTCCACAAAATTCCCCAAATATCATGCAAGTCAAACCTTCAAAGACATCAACTCTAGATGAAAAAATTATAGACTGGAGAAAACTAGCTTGAACAAAGAGGAAAGCATGAAACAATCTTATATTATAGCAAAAAAAGAAAGGAGAAAAGTACCTGATTAACTGCAAACCCTTTCAGCATGCTCAAAAAGTCATTGTGCATATCTTTGTCTAGCCTTTCAAACTCATTCTTATTGTTGTCCTGCAGATAAGGCACCAAATATGTTTTACAAAGGAAATGTAATATTTTTTGCAAAATTTTCAAGCACATGCAAGTTTAACAATCATATTTTCACATCAAAGCATACAAGTGGATAAACACAAAGAGGAAAACAAAAAAGAGAACAAGAATTAGTAATTTTACAGGACTAGTTCAAGCATTTGAATGATCAATGAAGATGAATATATGTTTTAAGAATTAAAAACAAAAATCATAAAGGTAGTAACAACTGTCAACTAAGCAAGATGAGCAGGGGTATTCACCTAAAAAAGACGAGCAGGGGTTCATAAGTTGGGTGAACCAAAAATAGAAATTCACAAATTCTTGCAGAAATCTATAACCTCCAAACTTACAAAATGAGAGAAAATGTAATTTTAAACTATCAACTTACAAAACAGTGGCATCCCAAAAATATACAAAATTAGAAAACCTAGCGCAGAAAGGATTTTTAGTTTGAAAGGAAATGGTTAACATTGTAAACAACTCAAACTGGACTGGCAGCCACTCCACACAAAGTGGCTATGGCTCCAAGCCATGGACAAATCAACAATTTGCATACCAGTTCTTGGAGAAAAAAAAAAAAAAAGAAGAAGAAGAAGATTAACAACGCTGAGTGGAAGAGGAGTCAGTGTAAGAATGTACTACCAGATTACCGTTTGCGCAATAACAGACTTATCAGGTAACCATATGTAAAATTAATCTCTAAAATAAAACATATGTACACCTTGTCCTTCAACCATAAAAATAAAATAAAATAAAAACTTGTGATATGGGGATGTCCTAATCAACCTAAATGCATCTCACATCAATGCTTTAAGTGGCAGTGCCCAGGAGCTTTTAATAAAGGTTAGGATCTTTGTTTCTATACCTAACCTAACCTAACTAATAGGTGAGAGGGGCTGCTTGGACAACTTGAAAACCCTAAACTGGCAGCTGCGGCTTCTTTGTTTGTGATTGTTGGTGGTCCAAAGTGTTCTTGAAAAGGACTATTGCTTCTTCCTTGAACATTATCTCCATATCACATTCTTTTCTTTTTCTTTTTCTATTTTTGTTTTTTGGATCAGCAACAAAATGAAGATTTTATTACCAGGAAGAATACTGCAAAGAGGACAAGGAGTCCTCCAAGAAAAAATAACAAAAGAAACAAAAAATCACAACTCCAAAACCAACACATCATAGACTACCCTCCAACAATTGGAAATAACAAAGAATGGAGTTCCTCTAAAAACGGAGAAGAAACAGAAGCCCAAAAAGAAACTAAGTATCGAACTAGATCCCAAAGTAGCTCAATGTCCTATCATCAAAGATTCTAGCATTCCATTCCAACCACACCACCCAAAAAATTGAAAGAATAACACAATTTCACAAAACTTTCGCTTTAATGTTGTGACTATGGTTGTCAAATCACAAAGCGAATCATGAATTGTTTTGCTAAAATAGTGAATCGTGAATTGTATCGACTCTGATTCACTTTATTTAGCATAATATATTATTTGATATATGTATATGCATATGCATATAAAATTATAGTGTTTAAAATGAAATAAATATCAATATAACTAATTTGTATATATGTATATACAATAAAATTAGTAGATATCTTTTTTATTTTGCAAAAACACATTATGTAAACAAAACTGAAGCACTTGGATCGTAGTGAATCGTAATGAATCACAATGTAACGTAGTGAATCACAATTGAATTGTAAGATTCACCCACTTTAAGTTTCATTTGCATGAATCGAATCATTTTGCTTGAAACTCGTATCAAATCATAAGAATCAAATTGTGAATCATACGATTTTAACAACCATGGTTGCAATCAAAACCCCGAAAATCATTCTAAAACATTTGAGCATAAGTAGCCCGTGCCACCCAACATACTTCCACTGACTGAAAGAGTCAATGCCATAATACTGAGGCCAAAAGACAACGCAAAAAGAGATGATCCAAAGATTCCTCGCTCTTCTTACATATGAATCACCATTAAGGACAAAGGTTGCAATTAGGTCTCCTTTTTTTTGAAAAATGTCTTCTATCATGATACGCCTATGAGCCAAGGTCCGCATAAAAATCTTAACTTTATGATGCACAAATGATTTCCAAATTCTTTTAAAATGAAAGCCAGAAATACCAATGGAATTATCAATGATGTTATCAAAAAAGGACTAGCATGAAAAGATCCTGGAAGAGTGAAGAGAACACACCCGCATGGATCTAAAATTCGATCTTAAGAAAAACCCATCCAACATGGCCAACAAAGATTTCAACACTTGAAATCCCAAAAAATCCCAATCATTAGGATTCCTAAACAATTGAAATCCCAAAAAATCAGATTCAAATAAGAAAGAGCCATAAATGCAATGGAAACGTTATGTGAACAAACCAACCGACACAAATGCGGAAAAACACATCAAACGAAGAATCACCTAGCTAAATATCATCCTAAAATTGAGCAAACTCACCGTTACCCATCCTCAATGAAAGGAAACTAGGAAAAAGAGGGAAATTTTGAGAAGATCAACAATTACCCCTATGAACCACAAAAAGATCCCTTCCATTTGCTTGAACCCTATTATGTACTTCTAATAATAGAATGCCATAAACAATTACTTTCTAAAGGGAGCCTCCATAACCATTTCCCTAAAAAGAGTAATATTCCTTGCCACAATGTTTCCTATGGCAGGACCCCTTTTTTACTTTGGAGAGTGTGAAAGTCTCCCAATTCACCAATGATTTTTTTTCCCTGCCTCCCATCCTTACCAAAGAAAGTCCCTCATCATTTTTTCAATCTTCTTGGCCATCTCGACCAGAGTCTCAAACACAAACTAGTAAATGGGAATGCTACCTAACACGTATTGCACCAATATACCCTACCTCCTATAGAGAACAAGGCTCCCTTCCAAAGTCTTACCAATATTATCTACCATTGGGGCCCAAAAACACTCTGCTCGAGGATTTCAAAGGCAGTCCCAGGTATTTAATAGGAAGATACTCAACGGAAGGACACAAAAGGGCTCCTGCCAACCCCTCTAGTCTATCCTGTTGAATGTTAATTCCAACAATGCTACTTTTGTTCAAATTAACTTTAATAGCAAGACAATCTAAAGAATTCTTAATAACGAAAGCAAATTGACTGCCTTAGAATCATCCCCAGAAGAGAAAAAAATAGTATCATCTATAAGAGGGACACAATCTGTTCCAATAACAAAACCATCAGTTTAACACACCAATCTAGCTCTATTGACCAATCTCCCCAAAATATATGCCACTAAAGTAAACAGAAAATGTGACGACGGATCACCTTGTGTAAGACCTCTTGAGACCGTAAAACTACTCTCTGCCTTACCATTTTACAATGACTGACATATTACACAAAGACAAGCACCCTCGAATCCATTTCCTCCATCTATCCCCAAATCCCTTTCTACACATTACAAAGTCCAAAAATTGCCAGCCTACATGATTATAAACTCTTTCTAAGTCCAATTTGAAATTTACACCGTCCTTATTAAGCCCTCTATATTCTTCAACTGCCTCATTCACAACCAACACAACATCTAAATCTAACACCCTTCCACAAAAGCTCCATGAGCTTTGGTCTCTCATAACAATGTTTGTAGTTTTTTTGATAGCACATTCCCAAGATTTTATAAAAGATGTAAACATTAAAATCTTTAATCTTCAGAGACTTCTCTTTATTAGGAACCAAGCAAATAAAAGTGGCATTAGTGCTTGTATTGACTACTCCATTCTCAAAAAATTCGACAAAAACTCTCATCAAATCTCCTTTAATACATCCCAAAAATCTTGAAAAACCGACATAGAAAATCCATCTTGACCCAGATTTATCTCTCTCACAATAAAAAACAACCTCTTAGTTTGATTCCATCAAAAGATCTTTCCATCCATCCAGCTCTATCCTCCCCAATTGGTGCCCACTCTAGACCCTCAATCCATGGCCTTGTGACTCCCCCATCTAAATAAAGACTCACGTAAAAATTAAAAATCTCATTAACAATTTGATCTTCTATATCTGCAACCACCCCATTATCCGATTCCAATCTCTTAATGAACTTCTTTCTCTTCCCATTAGTGACACTATGAATGAACTTGAAATTAATGTCCCCTTCCTTACCCATTTCATTTTAGCTTTTTGACCCCAAAAAATTTGCTCTCTAAATGTAATCTCCTACATCTTTGTTTTCAATTCAATTCTAATTCTCCTCTAACTCTCATCAAGACCATTCCTAGACCCAGTCCCATCCAACTCCTCAATATTCCTAATAATTCCGTCCTAGGTCTCATTCAAGTTTCCAGAAGTCTCTTTATTCCACTCCTTCAACTCTCCCTTAATTATTTTTAATTCCTAATAAATTTAAAGCCCTCCAATCCATCGCACCTACTCCTCTACCACTCTTCAAAGGATCTTTTGAAAGAAAAATGTGCATATTTTCAAACTTAAAAGGTGAAGGACCCTACTTCAAAGGACAACTCTCAACCACCACAAACAATGATATAATACAACTCTAGAAAGCACCTCCTGTTTAATATTAAGGAATCTCTTCTCCCATTCCACAAAAAACAAAAGATCTATCAACGCACACACCAATTTGCTTGAAGGTTAGAACACATGAAACGAGCATTGGGCAAAAGGGGACCAATCAAATCATGTTGTCAAAATGTCAAACAATTTTATATATGAAAATAAAATAAAATAAATTGATTTTGGCAAATGTTATAAAATAGTTCTTAAGGCCTCGTTTGGCAACTACATGTTTTAGCCAAAAAGTCACTATAAGTTGTCGCATCACTTTCTCTACTTTTCTACACATTTTTTCGTAAAAAGCCAAAAAGTTAGTAAAATAGCTTGTTCCCATTAATATATTAGGACATGATTACATCATATAATTGGGAAGACATTGCCTTCATAGCAAAAGATGTGGGTCCAAATCTCACCAACCATAAAATTATTCAAAAATC